TCCAATTTTTCACGACAAATTTGATGAGTTTTTGTAGCAAATATATATGCTCAAAAAATTTGCTTTAGAACTCCCTCACGAAAAGACGAAAAATCCTTAAAATTGGCAAAAAAACTGCTGAAAGTTTCTAAAAGAAAATTCAAATAATTACAGATAATTTAAATCGATGCCAACAATTTTCATAATTTTCTGAAACATTTTTAATTTCATTTCAATTTTTTCTTTTTTAAACGGACATCACTGGTCTTAAATTTCTTCTTAAGTTTTTTCGGCTAATGTTTTAGTTTTTTTTCAGCTGTATACGTTTAGGCCTACTTCATATCGGCTTGGTGGTTTTTTATTGTTTCATTTGACGGAGAATAAACTAGATTTTTTTCTTACTCTCTCTGCTGCTGCTCAGCCATGCTCAATTTCCTGAAAAATAAAAATTAAACTACTTTTTTGTTTTGAGTTAGTAATTAATTTTTAAAATAGTTTTTCTTAGAAAAAAAATTGATAATTTCGGACTTTGATTTTCATCCTAATTTTTGTCGGCTGATTTTTTCGTTTTTTTTTCCCAAATGCAATATCTGGTACTCCTTTCAAGCATTTTATTTTAAGTTTTTTTTTAGCTACGATTCAGTAGCTATATTTTTAAGCTATGATTCCGACACTTTGTTCCTGTTTGAACAAAATATGTGTTATGGAAATGAATGGGCTTTGGTTTCTGATTTTTTGAGACTCGTTTTTTTTTTTCACTTTTCTCTTAAAAATTGTTTTGAAAAAATGTGGTATGTAAAAATGTTGTATCAATGGAAAGGACGGTCTTTCTTCTGTGGGCCTGCATAAAGACCTATTCTTTTTTCTACCGTAACCCATTTTCTACAGCCTTCGAAAAAGTCTGTGAGGGGAATTTTTGACTCACTTTTTGGGAATTTTTCCTCTCTCGAAAACTACCCTCTCAGACCTGAGGTTTTGGGTTCAATGGATAGATTATGTCGAAGCGGGGTGGGTTTTTTTTCTCTCATAAACACCCATCCTAAATCAATGGTTAGGTGCAGCTCTCGGAAAAGTCAAATAAATGATTTCTTTACCTTTTTTTTGAAACTTTTGTCAAAAAATACCATAGCAAATATGTGATTTTGGAATAAATGGATAGCTCCTCTGCATCAGCGTTAAACTTCTCTGCATCAGCCAATATGCCCAAATTTCTTTCTTTTCGAAATTTTTGGGCATAATGGGATAAATTCACAAATCCTTTGTCCGGCACTACAGCATGCGCTGGCTAACTCATATAAACATCCCTCAATTTTATATGTCATTAACACGGTTTTGACGTCTACCGAAAGCAAAACGCAAGGTGACCCCCTCGCAATGGCTATGTGCGGAACAAGGATAATCCCACTGATCGAGCCCCTGCAAAAACCAAATGTCACCCAACAATGGTACGCAGACGACTGAAGCGCTGCAGGTGATCTTAAGAGTCTCCACGCAATACTGGACTACCTGGATGTGCACGGAAAGGTTTTCGGCTACAATTTGAAGCCTTCCAAGTGTCAAATCATAGAAAGGAAAACCGTCGGGAAAGCGCCATAAAGGTATTCGAAGGCACAAATATTACAATGGTAGACAGTTTTGGAGTCCTTGGATCGGTTATAGAAACACCATCAACATGCGATAAATACATGGAAAGCGAAATTGAAAAGACAACTACCCTAACAAAGAAAGCTTTCCAAAATAGCTAAAACATCACCACTAAATGCGTACTCCTGCTACACAAAGGGAATTCAAAATAAATTAAGCTTCTAACCAGCACAACTCTTTTTAAGCATTTAAGAAGCCTTTAACAAAATGGATGAAGTTGAGAAAAACGTAAGACAGCAGCTACTTCCTGGTTATATTGGTAAAAACCATATAACCGATTAAGATCGCAGCCTTTTTGCACTACCAGTAATAATGGCAGGATTGGACCTCCTCAGTAACACGGACTTTTCCTGAAATTATGAGTGTTCACAAGCCATTTGTTATCCATTAGAGAACAGTGATCTAAAAAAAGCTGAAACGGAACAAATTCTGATAAATAGAAACATCAACACTGAGAGACAGATCATACACACACACTCTCAAAAAAGGTTAATATTATGGATGATGGGAACCACCAAAAACTCCACTTTCATGCCCTTGTGGACAACCATTTACACTGACCCACTCTCTACACTGCCCCAAAGGTAGATATTTTCACCTAATACATAATGCAAGACGAAGTATGCCATGATGTTAAAATAGAGCCGAAAGTTCAATCGTTGGAAGGCGAAAGCTTTCACAACAAAGCAACCACTACTGAAGATTACGCTCGACCTGGAAAGGCCGATTCAGCCGAGCCTTTTTCGATGTAAAAATTTTCACCCCCCATGCTAAATCCTGACCTAAAACTATATCTGACGCCAACAAATAAAATACCAACAAAGATTTTTTGGATGTGGAACACAGCAGCTTTGTTCCACTAATTTTTGCATGTACTGGAGGAGCAGCACCAGGATCTACAAAAACCGTCCAGAAACTAGCAGAGAAACTATGCGAAAAACGGAACGAATCATATTCGGACACAGTTAACTTTATAAGAACCAAAATAAATTTCATACTTCTGAGGAGCGCAACCCTACTGCCTCAGGTGGTGCAAAAAACTTAAAAATACATCCAACATAGACAAATCCATCTGTGCTATAATCGAGGAGGGTAGATTGTAATTGACATTTCTCTGGATGCTTTAAAATCGACTTGTTTGTTCAATTAATTTCTGCTGATGTATTTATACAGCTTTGTTATGTCCCTATCCAACCTGCGCACAGACCGTCGCATGAAGGAAAGGCCCATTTTAATTGACTTCCTTTTTTGATCGAAAAAGTTATCGTCCTCTGAAAAGTCTTAATCGTTATTTTTTAAACATAACCCTCCCAAGTCTGAGATTTTGAGTTCAATCGAACAAACAGTTTGTCTGAAGCTTCTCTGTATTAGTGTCTTTGCCAATTTTTTTTAACCTTTAAAGTTATCATATTCGGAGGGGTCAAGTTTATGATTTTTGTAAAACCAGTTTTTGAAGTTTATAACTTTATGCAAAAATTATCCTCCTAATTCTGAGAGTTTGAGTTTAATCGAACAAACAGGTTGTGTGAAGCTCCACTGCTTAAGTGGATGTACCCAAAAATTTATGGCCCTCGGATTTTATGATTTTTTTTTGAATTTTTTTGTCCTATCTCGAAAAATGCGCTCACTAATCTGAGATTTTGGGTTCAATCAAAGAATCGGCTGCAGGAAGTTCTGCTGAATAAGCCGCTCAGCCGATTTTTGTAAAAACAAAATGTCATGTCTCTCCGAAAAGTAAAACATTGTTTTTTGACCTTTCTTGATTTTGTTTTGGAAAACTACCCTCCCAAATGTAAGATTTTAAGTTCAGTCAAAAGAACGACTTGGGAGAAGATAGGAAAGTTCACCTGTACTATTGGATACGTCCATTTTTTTTTACAAAAAAACTTGGTACTCAGATAAGCCAATGTTTTGGTTTCTTATCCGTTTTTGAAACTGGACTTTTCTCGAAAACAAGGGTTTAATCGAGGCTTGACATAAGTTTGCGGTAAGCCTCCGTACATAACTGACTTCTTCTCAGAGAAACAATTAAGGTTTTGTATGAAGCGCAATTTTTCACTCATTTCATGCTGCTTCAGTACAACAAAATCGGAAAAAAGTCAAACGGGTACCTCCAGCCTTAGATGGGCTCCTAGTACTATTTTGAAAATCCACCCAGTTCGCTAATACATGATGTGCCATTACGTTATATGTAAAAATTAAATTTTTTTATGGAATTTTTTTTAATTTGAGCAAAAAAGACGAGCTATTAATCAGCTGAAGTCAATCGCCTTTAGATCTCGTCACTTCAGAAATAAGGCAAAAATTAGTTTTCAATTTTTTTAATTAAGATAAATTTATCTTGTTCCATAAATATGTTCAATAAGTCCCCAAAGCCGTTAGATTGCCGTGATGGAGCTAGAAGATCTCCACTGAGTAGTTTGACGAGATCTTTTCACAGATAAATTGAAGCGAAAACAAGATGTATGCAAACAATTAAATATCGACGTAAGAAATTGACAAATTTTCCGTTTCCTTTTTTTTACATGTTTTTTAAAATAATTAGATAGCTGAAATTGTACTGATAATTCAATTTTCCGAAGGTTTTTTTGCAAAACTTTGATCAGTAATTTATGGTTGGTGCATATTTTGATGTTTGTGTTAATTTGACTAAAAATTAAATTACAAAAATGATAACATTCAGTCACAATTAATTGAATGTCGAAGCTTAAATAACATCAACTAGAAATTGAAATGTTCAGCCGCGTAATCAAGCTGGTCAAATGAGCTTGTAGAAGTGTTGTTTTTCATGGTCAGTTACCCCGTATAGACTAGGCTCAGGGAAATTGAAGGTTCAGTTGAAGGTAAAAAGAATGCAATAGTTAAATGCATCTCTGTTCGAATATCCTTGTCGCAGAGAGACAATGTTTTTCAGTTTTGGATTTAAAATCTGCTAGACAAATTTATTTTTGAAGATGGATCAAATGAGCAAAATGAATATGCAAAATAAAAAGGGAATGCTATAAAAAAATTTAAATATTAAAAATCCCTGGTGGGCAAACAGTACAAGAGCCCCATCTGGTTTTTCTGAGAACCGCATTTTGTTTCACTGATTTCAGTCTAAGTAGTTTAAAATGTAAAAATTTCAAGCATGAATAATCAAAAATCTCGTTTTTAAAGCTTTTTTTAAGGAAAGTTTTAGCACCAGTTTGTTGTGACAGACAGCCTTCGACAATGCTCACTCGTTAGAATAGTTTGGATATTTTCACATGTATAAATAAGGTTAGAGTTGAATGTGTTATTATCTGGTCTTCAGTAGTCTTAAATCAGGCAGAATGCGAGAATATATGTCTTCTCTATTTTAGCCAATCAGGTGCAAGCCACTGCATTTTTCGTTAATTTTCTATAAAATTCTCTCTATTGTGTCTTGATAAATCTTAATAAAGAATTTAATAAACTCGAGCTAAATAATTACCTGAGATTTGAAAATCAGTTGAAAAGCAAAAGCAAACTTGAGCGAACCTTTCAATGGATAGATGTTTTTGGATCCAGCATTCTCTGATGAACCGAAATTAAATTCAATAACCGTGTTGAAATCTCAATCTAATTTAAAAGTTAAATTAAGAAACTGTTACTGTTACGCTGAATTTTAACCATGCACTTGGTATCATTTTTCTGCAGTTTCCTGCTTTTCTCAACATCCTTGGCTGAAATCGGTAAGTTCTTCTGTTCTAACTCATTTTCGAAAAAAAACCGCTAGTATTTTTTTTTCATCTAAATAGCTTTTGGTCTAACTTTGCTAGAAGACGGTGTTTTATCAAGAATGCTTCTTTGAACCAGGGAAATATTTGTAAATGAATTATTAATCAAATGACATATTAAGTCTTGGTCTTTATCTGAGTTCCATGAAATCCATCCACTTAAAGATAGAGATGTTCAAATTTCATTTCAATTTCAACAAATGAATCCGCAGAAGTTTTTTAAAATCTGCTTTAAACCAGCCTGTAAAAATTAAAGTAAACAGGGGCTTCAGATCTCTTTTTTTTTGGGAATAGACTTGAAAGATCAGCGAAAAAATTGCTGATAGTTTTGAATCATTTTTGACAGGTAAACCTGTGGCTGTTCAAGGAATCTGGTTGCTGTTCAACTAGCAGAATGTTTTCAGCTTAAGAAAGTATCAGTTTTCGATAAGTTTTTGAGGAAAGAATTGGTATGAAAAATGTCAAAAATTTATATTTTCAATTCCAAAAAATGAGTCAAAATCCTAAGTAATCTGAAAAGCAGCATATTATTTTTTTCTGAAATTTTGTACTCGACTGAGACAACTCCTAATCCCAATCTCAAACAAAAGGGCCTTTTTTATAACACTTTATTTGACAACCTACGAGCTTTCTTTTAATTATACAAATTCGGCTAAGAAGACATTCTACTTTTTTTGTTTCCCAAATCGTGAAGTGCTCGGAACAAAAATGAGTTGAAAATAAGACTTGAAGATCTTTCTTGGAAATTTTTGTTGAATTTCATGGATCTATTTAACTATCCCCTCTGCAAAAGGGGGGATTTGTTACTAGTTACAAAATTCACAATGCTTATTCCTTAAATTACTTCATTATAAGGGTGGCGATTCGTTACTAGGTACCAAAGGGGGAAAATAGTTAAAAATATCCAAATTCATAACAATTATTAATAGAATAGCGAAGTTTTGTTAAATATCTTTGCGCACCACCGTAACTGCGCTTCAAGAAAAAATTACTCTTGGTCAGAGTTGCTGCCAAAATTCTTACAGACGGATACCTGTTCATTCTATCGTGCTACTTCTGTTTTTGGCGCCCAACCATTGTGTTTTCAATGATTGACAAAGGCACTGGGCATCTTTGCTCTCATAGTAAATCCTTCGCTTTTGAAAAGCTTAAAGTGCGGGCTATAAAATTTCTAGTTGATATTTTTTGAGTATTCACAGCTTTCCTCTTTTTGCCTATTGGTTAATGAAACTAGCTTCTAATTTAAAAAACTCTTCTTTTGAGTGTTTTTTTTTTCGTTTCAGTTAGAGCAACATTTTTGAAGCAAAAATTGTATTTTGGGTCAAGATGCTTAATGGGATTCTTTTCTGGTATTGTTCGTTTTATCTCGTAGTATTCTGGAAGTTATTAGGCCTTTTAAGTCGGCCTTCAATAGTCAGCAGAGAGGAAGAGAAAGCAACCCAGTTACATGCCAGTTAATTAGATCAGGTCTGGATTGGAGTTCTGTCCGAGTGACTTAATTCAATAAAATTGCTCCTTTGTGGCGTTAATTTGATTTCTACTCTTTTGAAGACTTAATGGCCCAGGCACTGCGTTTAGTGGGAATGGAAGGATATACTAAGGATAGAATAAAGGAAGCGAAGTAGGAATAGTTTTGCCGCCCAATTTTTTGAATCGTTCTTCTAATTCTCTAATTTGCTATCGAGTGGCGAAGAACTTAAACATTGCTTAGAATGGTTGTTAAATTATCCCTCAATTTTACCGACCTTTTTTTTCAGTTACTTTAGATCTAATATAGATCTCTTGAAGTCCCAATAATACGCACTTGGTTTTAAGGATAAACTAAGTGCCAAAATAAGTGCCAAGATCGTAAGAAATTAAGAAACGTTTTAATATTGCTAGGTTTTTGGGAAAGCTGGCTATATTAGGAGTTCGAGTCCCGTCTCAATCTTTGATACAAGAAACCCTGATCCGTGCTCTTTGTTTGAGGGCGAGGCAATATTACCCAGCCCAGAAAAATTGCTGAGAAATTGCATGTAAATCTTAACGAGGGGCCATACATCGGTTCTCCACGAATTGCTGAATAGCTCGTATGTTGGTCCTTTCCCTTAATGATAAATCGTCCCATGCAAACATGAGCTTACGGTTTTGTTGTTTTTCAATTTCGAATTCGGATTTCTAAGCTTTTCGAGACAAAACAGTTTGAAGCTGTGCTGATTCATATCTCCCCCACCTCACAGAAATGAGTTTGGCTTAATCCCCCTTTACCTTGTTGATTGTATTTGGGAGCTAACAGGGCAGCTGCACCTCTAATAAAGTCCAGATTAAGACCTAATTTCTAATTCCACTGTCGAAATTCCCAATATGAAGAAATGCAGAGTGTTTTAGTGTTTCCGCATAGTGCGTTGTATTGTGAGGTTGTTTCGGTCTAGCTGTAAGTTTTGAGCTCAGTTTTCAGGTTTGGAACGAGTTGATGAAACTTTTGCAATTTTCTGAGGGTCCAATCAGTTCTTTCAAAGCCAAGGCGCTTTTGGAATTAGCTTTGACTGTTTAATAAAAATAGCCACCGAGAAATTAAGTCCAAGATTTTAAGATTCTATGAATATTTTTCGCATATTCGCTTGCCCTGGCTAATACTTCATTTTTTGTAGTTTTTTTTGCGAATGTAAGTTTTTTTATCAATGGAAGTTTGTGCTTCGCTATGCTTGTCGGCTGAGAGGCCTTAAAACCCAACTTAATTCTTAACCTTCTTTTCAATGGGTTCCTCTTCTGGCGGACAAATGGTCTGAAGTTAAATTTACAAATGCATTAGGGACACTTGTGTTGAGTTATTAGTGTAAACATAAGCGCTAACACGTTTTTGTGCTCAATTGTCTCTCAGTTGTTTTGATGTTTTGCGCCTTCAACTCCCAACTAATTGCGACTCATTCCATGTAATTGCACAACTGTGTTTCAATTTCGAAATAAACTGTTTTTGGTATCATTTATCCCACTCAGTTGAGAACAATCATTAGGTATTAGTAGGGCGTCAGAGTTTGGTACAGTATTCGAACAGGTTTTATGATACTGCGTTAATTGTCGGTTCCTCGTGATTTTTGGGTTAGATAAAAACTGAAACGTTACTTTTGTTTTGCTCTTTGGGCCCTAATTTCATCAAGGCTTTCGACTATTTTTATGACGCCTGGAATTTTATTGAATTTAGAGGGCTTCAAGCCATTTACATGTCATTTCGTGCACCAGATAGTTTTTGTTTCCTGCCTTTTGGAGTTGGTCGTCCAGAAATGGCTGTCGTCAATTACTACCGATGTAGAGACCCTTCGGGAAAAAATTGAAACTAGAAATGAGGGGGAGGGGGGGGGGGCTTTTCGGAACGATGCTGAAAGGGGAATATCCACGAGTGGATTTAGGGGAAGCGGACGCCAACCCCCCCCCCCCCCCCCCCCCCCCCCGCAGTGATTCGGCCCCCTGCCGGCCCAAAGGGTCCCCCTTTGTACTATTTTGAGATATCTATTTTTGGTGAGGTACCCTAACATTTTTCTAAAGGCGCCTTTGGCGCCAATAAATATTAATTTTGATGGAGGAGCGCGCGCCGAAAAAACGCGATTTTTTGGTCAACATTTTCCAAAAAGTGCCTAAAAATGCCTTTTTGGCCTGTTTTTTTTTTGAAAATCCGCCTTCCCCCCGACCGACTCCTCGAGAAAATCTTAGATCCGACCCTACCCCTTTGTAGTATTTTGAGATATCCATATTTGGCTGACTGACCGCATATCAGTGAAATTATGCAGAAGTCAAATTTGAGATAATCCAGAAAATTTTGAGATAATGATTTTATCGTCTGTGATTTTTTTTCCAGTTGAACTGTTGGGCAAGACAGACTTGACTCAGTGGAGTCCAGAACACGTGACTGGAAGGAGCAGAAATGGGGTGAGTGGATATTTGGTATATACAGATTAATAAACTTCTTTTCGTGCGGCATGACTTATTATTTTTTGAATTTCTGATGGGAACGAGAGGTTCTTGAGACTGCTAGTTATCAATTGAAGAAAAAAATAGAAAAAATTGTAGTGCTAGACTGTTTTTTGGCTATAGTGTGTTGGCAGGGGGAAGGGGTAAAGGGGTAGGGGAAAGGGGGGATAGAGAGCGAGACTCTTGGTCTGTGCGATTAGAGTGCAATCAATTTAAGTCCATTGTGGTTGTCAAGTATTAATAATGATAATCTGGATTGGACAAGCTGCCTTTAAGTGCGCTCCATTTAGTGCAGTGCTTTTTGAGACCCAGTGGCTGCTGTGTTCTGGCCAAATCTTTATTAATCCGCCTCTGTTGGGCCTGCTGCTGAGCGAGTGGAGTTATGTTGACCTGCTGACTGATTATCCGGCTGGCTTTGTTTCCCCACTCGCAATATTACTAAATCGCACTAGCCAACACAGGGAGTTAACCCGATTACTATTTATTAATACTAACTACGCTCCCCAACTGAAAGAAAGCAACTTAATATTAACCCATTTCACATGCCGTCTTAAACTGAAGTAAGTTGCTTAGTGGGGAAATGAAAAACTGCAAACGAAGTGGACCATAAAGAAACGGTCCCTGGATATTTTTCATTCGCGCTCACTATTAGGATTTTACAGGTACTTAGTCGCGCTACTACGTTTTTTAGGTATCTAAAAATGAAGACCAAGTTTGTTACCTATCAATTTAGAGCGCAATATGAAAACTTAATGAGAAAATGATAAGAATGGAAATTGATCTAGCGCAAGCTGTTATTCAATCCCCGATAGCATGAGCTGTCTCGACATACGATATATAGTACGAATTTAAGGTTGATATTATCAATTAGAAGTCTTTCTGGCGGTCTTAGGATACTAATTTTGGGTTTTGACCAATTCAAATTTGTCTTTTTGGTGTTTTTGGTAAGGAAACAAGGTGGGCCGGTTGCTATGCAAGTAGCACAAATGTTCCGAAAACAATGATTTTAGAATCGTTATTGAAAAAAAGGATGAGAGTATATTATTTTGTATAGTTTTCCTGTTTTTAAGAGTCGATGAACGTAGTTCAGACTCTTCTATAGGTCGTGATGATTTTTTTTGCAGGAAAATTTATAAATTGTTTAGCATTTAACAACAAAACAATTAACTTATAATTTAGTTTTTGGCCTATTGTCTGATAAGAAATGAAAACGTATGTTTTGTTCAGTTCTTCTATAATCAGTCTCGGCCTCTTGTCTGCGACGTCGGAGATGACCTCCGCAACTTCCTTCTGTCCCCAACCATTAACCTCCTACAAGCAACCACCCTCTGGATATCTCTCAGGTTAGACAACAGAAGCTTTCCTTATATAGCTTTCTTCTGCTTTCTTGCTATATTCTTGTATGGGAGGGAATTCGAATCCTGATAGGCACCCATATTTATTAGAATTTATCATCAGTGTTTGAGTTTTACGCTGAATTTGAAAAACCAAACGGCAAAACCAAAGACACTGTTATGATGTGATAGACGAGTATCGTTAGAAACTTTTCAGAATTACTTGAACTGAACACGAAAATGAACCTGCAGTTTGTGAAACCGTATGTGCTTATTCAATGAATTTTGTGCTCATGTTGCGTTTGAAATATGGCCAATTAGTTGGCCTGACAATAAGCAACTGGCAACTAAAAAGTGGCAATATATAACGTCAATCAGTCGTACCAACAGAACCAAAGAAGATCTGGTTGATAAGCAATCATTGGAGCTCATTTTACACACTCTTGGTCTCTTTTCGCTCCGAGCATCGCAGCATGTATCTATTGTGCGATTGACTTCTGCTGTGCAGTCGTGTGAGTTGAGTCGTGATGATTTGAGGCGCTTGCAGCGAGTGTCTGTCAAGTTGGCCAAAACAAGACTCAGATTATTTCTGGAACTGCATGATGAATTTGTACGAAGTCACACTTTAACACAGTAGAGTACTATCTTGACTTATCAATAGGAGAAGAATCACCTGACTGCCTGCTGTGATCACAACAATAGCCGATAAACATTCAGCAAAACGAAGAAAATATGGTTGCTAATTTTGACAGAAGCCAATAAAAGTGAAAGAATTTAAAATTTTGGCGAATTTGAAATAAACGTAAAACATTCTAAAATGGTGAGCGAAGAAAAATTAATTGGTTTTTGACAGAAGTCATCAACTGAAATAATTATACTAATAAAGTTGACGTATCTGTATCTTACATTCAAGATGACGTCGAAAAAACATTTTAATTACTTTTATGACAGGCATTAAACCACATACTGGTAAAATTTTGCCAAATTTGAGCATAATGACTAGTGTTTTTAGCTTTTCAACTTTCTTAAGTGATTTTTAACATAGATACAAATTGTCAATGGGGGTATGCACGTTGTCTCAAGCTCGTCTTTCGGAGCTTACGTAAAGGGCTTCCCATCTCGTAAACACTTATCGACATAATTGTTTCGACCTCCCCCCTAAAGGGACAGAAAGGAATTATAGATTTGCATGTGTTTTGGCATAATTTTGGCAGGTTCGGAGAGTTTCGTTTTTCAGACCAAATTAGACAAATTTGATTAGGAAAGCAGATTAGAGACTGACCTCTATTTTTTCGATTATAGAATTATTGTAAAATCAGTGCTTCGGAACATTCTGTGCTACTTGCACAACAACCGCATGTTCTTGCTTCCTCTATGTGATTATTTTCTATCAAATAGTAGCCATTTTTCGGGTTTTATCACCCTTGGCAAAGTGATAATTGATATCATATCCTTGCACTCGGTGTTTATTAACTAGTGGAACCCTTCTAACTGTGGAATAATTCCAATACTGCCGCCGCCGCCACGTCAACTTTGATTCTAGCTAGCGGGGCGTCCCTTGGGAAAAATCATTCATAAGGTGTTTTATTGAACGGGACAAGGACTTTAATTAAGTCTCCTCTGCGCAAATTGGAAAAGTGACAAAAGTTTATTGCATTAGCATTTAAAGCATGTTGCCACTTTGTATGCAGTACAAGCTACAAGGTATTGCAGCTTTGCTATTTTTCACTCCTATTCAATTTTGAGGTGAAGTTAGAAAATATAAGAAACATAATTTCAAATTAAGACACTTTGGCGAGATGAAAATATGCAATACTCTGAACATGTATGCTGTTCAAACTTTTCATCAAAAGATCACGCATTTTACAGTTCTAACTCGTCAAAACCCGGGTGAAAATGAATGCAAAAATCTAGCTGGGAGAATAGAAAAGATCCCAAGTGTTTAACATGTTAGCAAGGCTATTGCCTCTAATCCTAGCTGGGGTTCCCCCTAATGACGATCGGTATTCTGGAGACCCGTGGTCACCAAAGGAGAGAACAAATTCACAAGTAGTTTTTGATCATATGGAAGCATGAAGTATGAACTAATTTACGTATCTTTGTTTTCATGAAGGTCAAAGAATATAGCCAGGATGCCGCTTAATTCTAACTAGGATCGCCAATTGCGATGTGGAATATTTAGCACGTTATTAGTAAATGCCGCGGACCGGAATGGATATTTGAGTCATAGATATTCCGTTCATTGTTGGCCAGTTCTGTAATATATTTTCTAATATGTGATTTCTAAGAACTGTTTCGTTGAATTCTCAGTTTTCTAAAAAAAAGGATCAAAAACTCACATAGAACCATGTCTTTTTAACCAGGTACAAAATTACACCATGCGAGGATCTCCGTGCGCAGTATGGGAGAAAATGCACAGAGCACCTGGACATACATCTAATACCAGTAGAAAAAGGGATCTGGGGAGACGATGAGTCAAAAGCCGCAGTAAAGGAGGATGGAACTACAGGTTCTTCAGCAGCATCATTCAACTATCACCAACTGGAAGACACAAAGACAAAGGTAGGAAAAATCAAAATACATCAAGCATCAATTTTGTGAACATCACTTTAGGAAAAAAATTAATTAGCAGGCAAATAACAGTGTGAAGTAATTATTGTAATGGATATTTACTTTAAAAGGAGTCGGATGATCTAATCAAATCACCAAATGCTGCAATTTTTTTTAGCTTCATCTTTTGGCTTGGGAATTTGTTGGGGAAACTTTTATGGTAAAAAGCAACAGTTCTTATGTTTTGTGCGTCTCTGTATCCTGAAGTCCAATCCAAATATACTTCGTTATTATAGATCGGTTCCGTGGTGACCAGAGGAGACACTGTGACCAAATTCGAGAGCCAAGTGGACCTATCTCGGTTCTCATTTTTATCCGAGCACTCAGAGTTTGCGAGGGTTGTGGTTGAGGACTCAGGTAGCTGTGCGGAGATACACGACTTCTCTGCCTCTTACAGAAGATGTCCACAGGTTAGTTATAATTGCGATATATTAGGCTCTATTGGACTAGGAAAATCATTGAGTGAATAGTTCATTTTTTCCGTAAGGTTATTATGAAATGATAAGTTAAATATGAAATTTACACATTAGATGATTTTTTTCGTCTCTCAATTTTTTCTAATGCTCATGACCTAAGAAATATTCGATTGTCATATTTTTGAAATATTGCGTGCATTGTTGGGTTTGTTTTGCATTGATGATGAATTTGCTCCTTCATTGTAGGTAGTTCGAGCACAGGCGTTGTTCAACGAGACTGCGGCACCCTTCGTGCCTAAGCATCCAGTGACAGGTACATGCGTTAGGGGAGCAGAGGGAAAATATGCCCCCACATTCAGCTGCAAGTCGGATGGAGAGTGGGACGAAAAGGAACAAGTTCTGGATCTGTGCCAGTGCAACAAAGGGTTCCAACCATCTGGACACAGCTGTCAAAGTAAGTGTATGATAAATTCGTTTTTCATTTTAAGTAAAGCCCAAGAAAAATTCAAATTTTATAGGGATTCAAAATAGTTTTGGGCTGTTGCATTAATTTATTATGTGCATTGACCATAAATGATCATCGTGTGGATCACTGGCAGTTATTTGAAAGTGGTGCACTAAAACCGAGAGAACTGAAAAAAAAAACGTTGACTAGTCCTTGTTCGCAGAACTACTGGGTTGGCTAACGCGTCTCCCATTTTAGCATGTACTCCCGGAAATTTCAAAGAGGAAAGAGGCAACAAGCCGTGCGTCTCGTGTCCCCTCAACTCTTACACTAGACAATTTGGATCCCAGTTCTGTCCTTGCAAAGCCAACTACTACAGGGCACCTGATGAACCACATTCTCTTGCTTGTGGACGGGCTCCTGGAGTCCCTCGAAACGTATCCGCAGTCGTACGAGGCACTCGTGTAACATTAACATGGCAGCGTCCTGAAGACGACGGCGGAAGATTCGATATATGGTACTCGGTGCAATGTGCAACATGCAAGCAGAACCCAGGACAGTCTTCCAAATTGATCACCCCCTCGTACAACAAGGGAGAGGTGCGAGGGCTCTCTGTGAATGTGACTAACTTGCACCCTCATACGGACTATATGTTTCACGTGTCTGCCCATAATTCGCTGTCTCCGCATGTGTCTAGCAGTGTGTCATTTGCACAGGTCACCTTCAAAACAGCCGAGAACCGTAAGTCGAGGCTCTACATACGTGCATGTTTGACATACACACGAATGTTAAGTAATGTTTTGCGTTAACATATATGTTGTGCTCATTCATGAGTTTTCAGAACACGGTTGTATTTGGATAAATTCAATCGAATCCATCCCAGGTGAAGAAACGCAAATTTCCTAAACGTGCATTTTTGTTCAAAATGTCTGCGACTATTATCACAGCAGGTCTTGAAAACTTTTTGAACGCTTGAACTTTCCTTTTGTATGCGTTACACACACTTGAGCAGTGGTATATTTGTACCACATAGCATGGTGGTAGTTTTTTAGCAGTTTTATTAGTTAAGTGAGCTAGCAAGAAGCACCGGAGAAGAGCTCTTCTGCTCATAAATAAACAGTACGCCAGTGGGATGGCTTTGTTTCGTGTGAGTCAATTAAACAAAACTTATTCACCACTTGCACGCTATGAGTGGCTCTGAAGCACCTGTGATTGGTACGATACGAATAGTTTTGTTTTTTGAGGTCCAGAAATTGATCAATGGACTTACAGTAAAACAAAACGAAGCATATTAGAGAAGAACAATATTCATTCATTACAGTCCAATTTTGTCCACTTTAATTGACAAGCAGTAATTTACTGAGAGAATAGTTCGTTTTTGTCTATCTTCGAACCATTGTTCAAATTTGAACAGAACATGAGTTCGATCTTTGTTTAGTTTGACATTTTTAAAAAACAATTGACTTTGGTGTACAGGTATATTCGTTTCATTTTGAGAAATTTTGTTAGATTAATAGTTTGCAACGGGTTCAAAAGATACAGAATAAATTAACCAAACTGTGTAGACTCATATAAAAGTTGTTGCGAAAATTTAAGTTTTTTTTTCACAAAAAAGTTCAATTTTTTTTCTAGGTTTGACTTGATTTTTTCACTAATCAGAATGCAGGAGAATTAGAGCTCTCAAAAATATAAATCGGAAAAAATAGTTAAGGCTCGAAATTGCTACATCTGTTACATGTGAAGCTATTCAAGTCATCTTTTGACAATGTTTCAGCAAATATTTGGAAGTTTTTTTTCAACCAAAAAAGCGGAGATTGTGTTTTGTAGTATTCTAGAAGGCAACCATTTATGTTTAAATTTTCTGTTTCGGGGTTGATACAGCTTCAGTGAAGCCATTACCTTATCTTTTTTTAAAATTAAAAATTGAGGATAAATATTCTGTTGTTTTTTCTATGGTAACTGAAAGGCAACCTAAGTGGCAAAGATTGTTGCGACGCAAATATTGTTGCGACAAAATGTGTCCATTTTCATCAATAACAAGCTATTAAGTACAGCCAATGCTAAGGATATTAACACAGACTATTATATTGCAAATAGCACTTTAGCTTAAAGGTATCATGGATCTGTAGCGTAGAGGTAGGGAAGGAAACCCCCAACAAAGCGAGCGTTAGTGTATTGGTACGAACCTTCTTGAGTGGTTAGTTCGTGAGACTCATAATTTCTAGGTAGCGTTTTTAGTAATTCGAGGCGGATTTCTACTTTTTGAGCTGCTTTTTGTCGTTCTTGTTAATTTTTTTGAAGCGTAGCTTCGCCTCTGTGTTTACGTTTATTATCAAATTAAAACAATTTGAAGGCCACCCTGTTCAATTAAACTTAATTTGGTGGAAGGAAGGGAAATTGCGCTCTCCGTTAACGGAAGCAAGAATGGCGCGAAAATACGTGAATGATTTCTATTTTCAAAAAAAGTTTCAGCGGAATAAAATTGATCTCCTGATCCAGTTTTCTCAAATTTGGTCAATTTTATCAAGAAATGGTTGATAATAATTTGTTTTGAAATTCAAAGAACTTTATTGCCATATATTTTATTGTCATTATTTGAAATTCTTGGAAAGTTGCATTTTTCAAAAAAAAAATCAATCATCGAACTATCTATTGGCCATATTTTTCATCCAGATCTATTTCGATCCTTTTTTGCATTTTTAAAGCTTCTATTTGCCGCTTCTGTTACTTACAATTTCTGAACTGCAGCTTCGCATTTGTGAAAAATTTTTAAATTGATTGATTTGCCAGATTTTTGATGGCTAGGTTTTAAAATATATCATTGTAAAACTTTCCATCAATTATGTTTTTGTATCTTAAACTTTAGTTTGCTTCAAACAATCTATTTGAGATGATATTTCTGAAGGTTCCAGGATCTTGACAGGGGCTCTTTGATCTTAGAAGGTTCCAATTTTGAATATTTGGGATCCCAATGTAACCGAATTTTGAGTGTTTGTAGTTTATTTGACTGTCACAGTTAGCAGTGATATCTATTGGTTGATGCAACTGGCCAACAAACAGAGCTGATGGTGATGTGACTATTAAACAAAAATGGACAGTTGAAAGTGAAGCTACTTAGTGCTGAATAGATAGGCTGCTGTCAGTCATTTAATACACACACAGAAACATACTATTGCTATGGATAAATTTAGAACTGAAATTGTCAACAGACAAAGAGTAAAGGCGGTTAGAAGACGTGCCAGAAAAATAAGCTGACTGATGTCGCAATATATTGAAAGAGTTTCAAGTTTACTTTCAGCTCCTAGTCATACGAAGTTTTAGGCATCTGTGTTTTTTATGAGTTTCTTGAGAATGTTTTTATACGTTTTCGAGATTTTATTTCTGTCTGCGAAGTCCTTGCATAATCTGTTCGTGTTTGTTCTATTGGTCTATTACTAGTAGTATATACTGCTGATCAAACTCTCGTTCATATTGTTTGGATTGGTACTGCATTTGGCAAAGTGTCCCTCAATCTGCACTTGTGAGACCACAAGACTGCTTCACTGAACACAACTGAACAAAGCAGAAAAATAACACAAAATAACTGAAGTTATTTACTATTTTTTTTAACCAAATCCAATATTTTAACAACCCGCAACAATCTCTCAACGTAATCTGTCCTAATTAGTCTGCGCTTATATGTTATAACGGTTCGCAACAATAATTTTCAATTTCAGCTAGAAAGTTCTGATTAGTAAAAAAACACGTGAAATTCTATTGGTTCGCATTTGTCTGAAAGTATTTTTTCGCAACTGAAAGTAGCCCCCGTACTGTTTCACCGCACGAAGCTTCCTAATAAGTCAATGACAGAGATTTTGTTGTCTCACGTGCAGGCCCATTGACCAGCCGAACTTCGAAGGTACCACTGGTTCTATAGATCTCACTTGGTTTTTATTTTAGATCTCTTTTTTTTTAATGATCAACTAGTCCTTTAGTTCTTCACTTGATGTTCTATAATATTCACTAAAACGATATTTTTTCCCGAAACATCGCAAAAAGGGCACAAAAAGGTAAGGTGCAGAAAATTCTGGCACAACTGGGTCTGAATTGAGTTTTGCTCCCAAAATCAAATGTGGAAAAGCCAACCCTCAACCTCGAAAAAAATTTTAAATCCGCCATTGAGCTATCGGGGCATGTAGAGCACATTGATTCGATTCTGGTCGAAAACATTTATTCAATTCTGCCCAAATAAAAAATAAAGAGAACCTGAAACAAAAAAATTTGAAGCCCGGCAATATACTGTAATCGGCATCAACGTTTTCGATACTTTCGTTCATTGGAAAGCGATGAAAACGCTAAGTCAGGTATCTGAACAGCTGTTCTTATCTCAATAAACTATTTGAAAATGGGAAGGAACTCGTATTCGGGTTTGTTATAGTTTTTTCTTTTTGTTTTCCACGCAAAATCAGGTACCACAAATAATCATCGGACTGAATTGAGTGATATATCATATTAAAGCCCTTACAGTCGTGATTCGAAACACGTTTAAAAGTTTCAATTTTTCCCGTGTCGAGAAAAATCGATTTAAAGTTTTTGATTTTTCGTATTATTTCGTCTTATTATAACTGCTTAAAAGCTTACAACAGCTTAATTTAAAACGTAAAAATCAATTTTTACTTGAGTAACGTTTGTTAGCTTTGATTATTTAAGCGCCTTTTTGGAATCAAAATTTTCAAAAATTGCAAAAAAAAATTTAAAAAAAAAAGATTTTTTTTTCATTTTTCAAGTAACTTTTCTTAAAAAATTGTTATTCACGTTGCTTTTTATTTGACTGTCGAATAAACCTAATCTTCAGTTTTTTTCAGCTCCTATTATCACACCAAGCTGAAAAAAAGCAACAATAATTTGAAAAAACTTAGCTGTATTTTTTTAAGACTGTGGTCGGAACATTTTGTGCCACCTGCACAGTAACCGGCTATCCTTGTTTTACTGAGTATTTATTGATTTTACGAGGATGTAAATGACGACAAAGTTTTCTTGTAATTGTGTAATTTTTTTCTCAAGCCAAAATTTTTGACAATTAGACCACATGAACAAGAGTTATCACCATAAAAAGTTGGAGGCGGCAGAAAAGTAAGTTCCTTCTTGTTTTTCTTCATTGTTTTTCCGGAGTTAAAAGTCAAAATTGTACAGTATTTGGGTAAGATGCCGGATATTAAGTCAGAGTAAACAAGTCCAACATTGTTCCACTAGTGGAGAGATTAGCTTTTCTTGTTTTTCGATTCTGTATTTGTCTTTTGTGAAGTTTCCAATAAACACAGAAGGGGATAATCTGAGCTCGGACGGAGGAGATTAGCTGCCCAGGAGACTGACTAAGCATCTGCACTGACATTGTTTGATCTCTCTGTTTATTAGCTCGATTCAGAATGTCCCTGGCTACAGAATAAATTGAAGCAAGAATTGTTTGCGGGAGCACGAATATTTTGATATCTAGAAAATTGACTTTTAGTCAGCCAAAAATGCCAAAAAAATTGATGTTGATGATTTCATCCCCCTCTTCAATTTCACTTTATGTAGTCATGTATTAAAAGCAAATGTTTTTTAAATTCCACAAATGCAGTCACATCAAAAACATAGATAGCTCAGATTGTGAAAAAGTGTGGGTTCGAGCTTTTGATCTGGCTTATTCAACTCAACCTTTCATCCGACCAAGTCAGAATCGAACCAAGGGTCTCAAGGTATCTGTGTCTCATTTCAACTCAACCTTTTATCCGACCGAGTCGGAATCGAACCAAGGATCAATGGTCTCATGGTTCCTCACTCTACCACTTGTGCTATACTCACCTGTAATTGGAAGGTTCTTTTTTAAATTTAAACCGAGTCGAAGGAATTTATATCCATCTTTGTCAAAGTACTTTTCCACGTGCGTGGAGATTTGTTCTTCTAACAAGCTATGTTTATGAAGATTTGGCTATTTTACATTTCCAAATTTGGCTCTTTTCCAGTTTCCCGCCCCCCTCGTAAAATTACAAAACAAAGCTGTACAAAAATTGTTCACACGGCAATTTATATGTTAGAAATGTTGTAGAATTTCGTTCACCTGTTCACGCTGACACGTTTTGATGCAATTTATAACATGATAATTTTTTAAATAAATCAATAAATCTAAGAGGGGGAACTGGAAAAGAGCCCCAAATTTCTATTTTCAAAGTTGTTTTTACCTGTTATTATTTATGGCTAGATGCGTGATGCTACAATGTAAGGTACGGAAATCAAATATGTTCGCAACTGTCAGTTTGTTTACCATGCCAACTTTCATTATAATGGCATCGTTAAAATAGTTTTTCGAAGTTTTAATGTGGGTAAAAATGGAACTCTTTTTCCTCCGCCCCCCCCCCCCCGCCTGCGAATTTTTTGGTAATTTTTTGTTCACATTAGTCGTCTTACTGAGCCTTGTAAAATCTGGGTTAGACCATAAAATTGATGTCATTTCAATTTGAGGTGGGGGAGGAGGAAAAAAAAACGTCAAATTGGGAAAAGATGCGAAGATATCCCTTGACAATGAACAAGTCCCCTCGTACATAATGAGGGCTCTTTTTCCTTTTCCCCCCCACCTGCAAAATTTTATATTTGAAGTTACTGTTCACTTTGTCCGATTGTCATGAAAATTGACATGCAGACTGATTAGGCCATGACAAACATATTTGGTCTTCATAATCAACCTTGTAAAACTACTCGTTAGACCATAAAGTTCATGTTTGAATGAGGTGGGGGGAAAAGGAAAAAGAGCCATAATTTGTAATATTTACTTGGACCCTGCCTCCCTCCACCATAATCGGATAGGGCAAAGGAAAATGCTAACTAAATATTTCAGTACAATTGAATAGCTTGAAATGGAATTATTGCAGTTCAATTTTATCGAGGATGAGTCGAGTCTCGGTAGTAATGTGATGGTTTGTCCGTTTCAGCCCAGATCGAGATCACACACAGTGGAATAGTGGGTGGGGGCGGAGTGGTGCTCAAGTGGCAGCCCCCCACACTCCAGCCTGATGACCCCTCTTCTTCAAATTCGCCCGAGTATAGGGTTCTGAGAGTACACAGGGGTCAGCCAAACTACGTGTACACCACAGACACCAAGTTCATGTTCAAAGGTAAAGAACCCGTTATATTCGTTTATATTCAATACATTGGCTGGACATTTTTTGCAGCATTTATGCACGGCAGTATTACTTTCTAAAATGCGGTTGTTATTAATCTTGAATCTTGAGCTCAGTTGTTCCAATGTGATTTGCTTTCAAAGTTTTAAGCCAGGCCTATTTTTGTATTTTATTCAATTTTGAAGTTTCTTTTTCACATTTCCTTTTCGACGTTTTTTTGCTTGCTAGAGAATAGCGAAAACTCTTCCTTAAATTATATGAAGATTTTCAAATTTCATAAAGACATTTATTTTCTCTTTTTTTTTTGGAAATGTTATCGATTGTTTGAAACTCCATGCATGTTTTGAGAGGGTTCATTCGGGATTAATGAGAGAACCTGACGAAGTATTTTGCCGTTTGTAGTAAATATGTAAAACCAAATAAACTGAATGTAACTCTTAAATTTTAACTGGCTCCAACTTGATGTACATTTTAATAACTTGAGACTTGTTTGTTTGTTTAATAATTAAGGAATTTTCAAACTTTCATCAGATTATTTTTTCTTATTATTCTTCTATTGCGTGAGCAATGTGTTTACAATACTTTGCTGCTGTAGTTTTTTTGTTTACAAGTACGTACAAAACTCGTACTTGTGAGCTCATCATCATCATCATCATCATCTGTTTGTTTGCAAATTTGCCATTTCATCTGGTACCAGCTATGCATGACTCTTCTTTTATAATCTCTGAATGGAACAGTTTTAGAATGTTCGGTTCGGCTCAGAAGCTTAATTGGATGGCCTCTCTTAATAATCGAAGATAAATGTGACAAATTGCTCAGAAATCTGAAGTTGACGTAAAGTTCAAACCGCGCGTCTATGAAAACATGGTTTCTTCTTTATTTCATCCCGCAGTCAAAGAACTTGAGAATCACTGGCTATCACTAAGTAGTCAATAACTGTCATGTTTTGGATTAAATACTTTATGATTGTCTATTTTGCTTGACCAATTGCGCAGAAAATTTCAAAAATGAATGCTTAAAGCGGTTGATTCTTTTAAGCATTCACGTTTTTCATTCATGTAAAGTTGGATTCTTCAAAATACAATAACCCTGACGGTACTAAAAATTGGTTGCACATTTTCCCCTGTAGTCTCATCACCGGAGAAAAAAATCTTTTTTTTTCAACGATGCTACTGTAAATGGCTAAAAAAATTTGCTGTTCTGAGCGAAGATTATCAAATAAGTGTCCATACTTTAGTCCCCATTTGTACTAATGTAATATTTTATACCCAATAGATTAATAATAATAGGCTCTTTCCCGCCCCTTTTATCAGCCGGGAATTTTGTTCTGATATGGATTTTGAAATGCTACCTATGTGATTGCGAATATAGATTGGGATACTGGCTAGGTATTTGTTCTCCGGTTTCTCCGTCTAATTTAGTGACAATTAGGCGGCTGATAATACCCTCTGGATAACATCAATCCCCTTCCCCCATTTTCTCTTTAGTCCCTCCCTGAAATCAATAGAGAACCAACTGCCATCGATCATGCTACTATTATGCACATTGGATAGCTAATAATGAGCAACAGTGTTTCGGACAGCGTCTGAATTGATTTGAGCTAATAGTCCTTAATTGACCTTTGTGAAAGAAGTGGCCACTTGCTGCGATAGAAGTGCCTACTTGAAAACCCAATGATTGCAATATGATGATCAAGTTCATGATATCCTCTAATTGTATTGAGAAATACGGCAGTTTTTCTTTTCTGATATCAAATTGACAGAAAGCCTTGAAAAGAAAAGTTACAAATTGCTCACATAAATTAAATTATAATGTTTTTGCCGAGAACTCAAATTACGTTGCATTGAATGATGACTATGTCTTGTTTGGCGTTTTAGGACTTGAGAAGGGCCTTCATGAGTTCAGAGTATCATTCAGCGATGGATCTCACCCCAGTAGAACCGTTCAACTGGAGAGCCAAGGTAAATATAATCAACTCCTACTGTGTGCAGCTAAGCACATTTCAAAAATAGTTTGGAAAAAGATATCTCATTGCTGTAATGCTGTTGATCAATTTTCCATTTCGACCAAATAATAGGCTGTCAAAACTTGCAGAAGACAACATTTAGAAGACTTATGATTTAATTTTTGCAGTTTTCCATAATTTTTGTGTAGCAGCTGTTCAAGATTAGTTTTGAAAAATGTGGTTTTCAGGCGGTCCTTCCACTCGTCGCGAGGAAGAATACAAACGACTAGTGTTCACAGTAGGCGTGGTCTTAACAGTCATCCTCATCCTGGTCGTAGCCTGTCTAGCGGCCGTCTGCTGCTACCGAAAAACTACCCACACCCACCATCACAGCCAGTATATGTACCAACAGCAACAGTACCCCTATATGACGAAAGACAAAGATCTGGATCTACTAAATGCCACTTTGAAAATGGGCAACCCGAATGACTTTTCGGTGTCGCCATTCAGCACTAATAATTTTTGTGAGTGAACACTTGTATATTTCACGGTTCCTGAGTTTATTTAGTTTTGAGCCTTTTTCGAACCCCCCCCCCCCCCCATTTATTTGATAATCATTTTGGCACAACTCAACCCGTAGTGATAATATAATGAATTTTGCATGGTGAACAAATTACCCATTCCGAAGACATTTGTTCGTTGTACCTTGCACCGAAAAATTACGCATTCAGCCATAACGGCATGTTTCAAATGCAAATCTCTGTAAATCAAATTTTGAACTTTGATGAAAGTGGAAAAGAACGGTATTGTGAGATGTTAAGGCTCAAAAGTGTTTGAAAAACACGCTATTTTTTGAACTTCAATTTTGACTTGTGAATTGTGAAACCCTGGCTCAAAGTTTACAAGTGATTACTGATGAAAAGCATTTTTACAAATGTCGACCAGGAAATGTCGGCTAAATATCTAAGTGAAATCCCTAAAATTCGCCACTTGCATCGTAAAAATAATTCGTAAATGAATAAAACCCACTGATTAAATCAGGACAGGCTAGATATCTTAAGGGCTTTTTGCTCCTTTGATTTTTTTCTCACTTTTTTTACCTATAAGGCGCAATTGCCCTAGACAAAACGGCGTCTCTCATTTTACGGTCTGATATCCGTTTTTGTTCCACTGAATGCTTTTGACTGTTCTTTTGAAAGCCACTCCGGACCTAGGAACAAAATAACCAATCAGAACTGAAGGCAATCTGAAAATACCCAGGAGGTCTGAGATAACGACTTGCAATAAACTGATAGTTATAAATTAGTCAAATTCCACTGGTTGAAATGAGCAACTGTCCTCATTTTATTGTGTGTCGTTTTATTACTTCTCACCAAATGTGCCGCAAATTCTAAAAGTGCTCTTCTGATTTTGAACGGCGTAACCCAGTAAACATTGATTGCCCGTAACACTAGTGTATTTGAGAGGCTCATTTCGGTGGCTATTTTAATGGCGGCCGTTTGGTCTCAAGTAATTGGTATAGTTTAGAGAAGTGTTTGCTTTGTTGGTAAAGCACTACAGTGATTAGTAGTTGCTTGATTATAACTATGCCGTGCCGTGTTTGGCCATGATAATGTGTTTTTTAGACTCACGGCAGTCGATTTTTTTCACTTTAAGCATCCCAAATAAACAAATGATTTTGGATTAAAAAAGTTGGGTTTTTGAAATTTGATCACAACTTAAAGAGCAATAAAATATCGAATTTTTTAAAAAGTGATTAATGATGATGGTTTTACATATTTGGTTTTCTGAGTATTAACGATTTTAAAGACATTTGTTGAGGCAGAAATTGACATTTGTTACGAGCAGCGTGTAAGTGACATCTATGTCAGATGCACAGACATTTTGGGCCTAATTGGAAGAAGTAGCTTCACAATACAAAAGGGATGATTTATAAACATATGAGCAGAAGGTACAGCTACTGATAAGCAGTGAGGCAAGGTCATCCTAGTGCCAGTTGAATAGTCAATATGTTCTTAATGAAGAGAAAAGAATATCAATGAAAAGAGAAGCTACTGAGCCGATACGTTTTTTTTGAGGTTCTCTGGCTGTCACTGTCAATGTGAAAAGAGATTTTGTCCTGATTTTAAAAAAATGTATGGCCATAGGGATTCGAATATTATGAAAAAGAATAAGCCTTGCGTTAATTATTTGTCCCTGGCTGTGAATTTTTCCTTCATGAAATTATGACAAAATGCTCAATTTTCATCGAACTGTAAAAAAGCGAAAATTATTGACACGGAAAAATGTAATGCTGATAAAGAAAAATTTCAGCAAAAATTCAAAATTTTTCAATACTGCTTTTTTCACAAGCAGTTTTTTGAATTGTTTTTTCACTGCCGCATACAACATTGAGTGCCAACTGATGTGGAGTCGATTTTTTAAAATTAGTTATGACTGAATGTTTTTGGTGTGTTCCAGACAGCAAGATGTCCATGTCTGGAACAGGTAGTGGAGATATACAACAGCAGAGTGAACCGGTAGGGGGCTGTTTCGTGGACCCCACCCAGGCTGACCCAGGATGTGCGGAACAGTTGCTGGCCGAGTGTGGGGTGAGACAACTGCGAGAGGAAGCACTCACAATTCCAACACAGTCGGACTACTCTGCGTGCGAATTAAATGGTACGACTAAATTTCATCGTCTTTTTATCGTTTGCTTGGGAAGTTTACTTTTCCATGTCGCAACTTAAAATGAGAAATAGATCCTAATTTTTAATTTTTTGGTCCTTAAGCTCTTAGTTTTTCCGCGAATTTATCTAATGACGAAAAAAGAGATTTTTAAGACAACTTCAAAATTTGGGTTTAAAAAGTGTTTGCGTTTGTTCAGGTTCGTTTGGCTTCCTCAAGGGATCTCTGCTACAACGAGGAGCTGACGCAGAAACTGTCCAAGTGCAAGTTCTGATCAAACGAGGATCCTACTCCTACCTGCAAGGAACCCTCCACGCTCAGAGAGGTGACCTAGAGAGGGGAGAAAAGGTCAAGGGTGGCATGTGCGCCGAGGAGTTGTACGTGGATAGACGGACTCTGCTCAATGAAGTGTCGATAGCGGCTCAGTTGTCATATGACTGCAATGTTCTCAAGCTCTACGGCATAGTTAGAAACGGTTAGTCATGTTAATGTTGTTCAAAGGTCTCAATTGATCAAAAATCTTTTATAGAATCTAATTGCTTTAGCCGGACGAACGTTTTGGAACCGCTTTTAATGGAAGTCTTATGAAGTCGAATGTCCTCTGACATCGCGAAAATTGAAGCATCTTAAAATTGATATGAAGATGATTAAGATTTTGATTAGAATGTTTTGCGGTACACCTTCAAAATATTGGAAACAACTGTTTTCCGATATTGGAAACACCTGTTTTCCGAAAAAGTTTGAATATAAATTTTACGAAATTAGAAAATGCTGTTTCAGACTTCCCAGAAGTAGCAGTGTACGAGCATGTAGAGACAACTCTGGAATGGGCCCTTCGCAACAACACTCTGTGGCAACAGCAGAAGAACAGCCGATTCAATGCTGGCAGTGCAGGCACCCTTTCTCGTTCCTCGCTCGCGGAACAGCAACAGCAGATGTCCACTCTGACTTCCGCCAGGTGTTCGCCAGAAGTGCACGTGATGAGAGGAGTGGCAGCTGGCATGCAGTATCTGGCTGAACTGGGATATACACACAAGGTGACCTTTCTTAAAGATAAATGTTCGTTAATTTTTTTCATTTAAGTTGCAACTTGTTCATTGTAGTTTCAGGGGGGAATTAAAACTTTTACTAAATTAATTTTTTCTGTCTGCCTTCTTTTCGATTCGTAAGTTTTGTTTCATTGCATAAATCGTATTCAAATGTTTTGCTGGGCATGTTTGCCTTGGCTGAACTCATATCGAGACATAAGAAAATTTTCAAAATTTTGGTAGACCGTGTTTTTTGAACTTCTTTCATTTTTTCGACGTTGTTTTTATGTTTATGTTGTTTCGCAACTGATGCGAAGCTCTGTTTTGCCTCTGTGTTCAACCGTGCTTTCTATAAGAAAGATAAAAGCAATTTTTTGACTAAAAAATGAAAAAAAAAATTGGTTTCCAATTTTTTTTCTGTATTATTGATTTTTTCTTCGATAACTTTGGTTGGAACAATCTGCGCTATTGCACATCAATGGGCTACTCTTGGTCTCTTTGATTTGTTTCGTATCCTTGAATTGTGAGTCGGCTATACTTGTTGATTTTACTTCGAGGCTGATTTTCTGGATTTCTGTACTTTATTGCTTTTTCTTTTCTGTCTGTTTTTAGAAGTTATTTCGGCCGTTTTTGTTCGCGTGTGTTGGCAAAGTGCAGTTCCGGTTCTGTTTATAATAAGACTTGCAATATCTTTTTTGTGTTAGGTTCTGCGCAGTCGCAACGTGTATCTGACGGAGGAAGGGTCACCCAAGATTGCTGGATTCGACCACCGAGCTCTGCTGGACGAGGAGCTGCTAGATGCTACCATCGAAACCAAAGAGGTAATTGAGTTCATGAAATAGAAATTGGATCTGAATCAAATGATCTTATTTTCGCTTCTGGTCTTTGCAGACTTTTTTTCTGCTAATCGTTGATGAGCTTCAGTAAATCTTGGAGGCGAAATTTACATTCTACTTGGTTTTCCAATCTTCCGCCGATGCTTGGCATAAAAGACTTTATAAAATTACTAAAAATATGCGAGGCTGAATAACAAGAAAGAATTCCGAGGTTGATTATCGTTTGTCGCCTCATTTAAAAGCTCTCGACTAATATCAAAAATGTGCGAGTGGATTATTATCATTTGAATGATCTTCAGATGTCCTTCTTGTGCTAAGTAATAAATACATGGCAGAACGGCTCATTGTACCAGTTGCAAGTTATTAGCTTATTTGAACACTTGAGAACAAGAACATTTTTTGATGCTACTTCAAACACAGGCTCATCCAAATAGCTTTAATGGGCTCATTTGACTAAAGGTGTGACACGGCGTTGTTGATGTTTATAATCCAACTGATTGTTTGTTAATATAATAATTGAGTGTTAAAATCGTAGTTGTGTATTTATGTAAGCGTAGTTGTAGTTGTATAAAAGCTCTTGATTGTCTCACTGAGCCAGAATCTGGACCACAAATGTTCTACCTTGCCATGTAGTTTTGGCTTCTCTGCCTCTCTATCGATAGGTTCTTTTTTATGATGCCCAACATGTTACATTCTATTTTCTCAAAATTTGATGAAAAACATTTAGTCTGAAACGGTTTACAATTATGATGCAAGCTACAAAAAGCGTTGTCTTGTCTGTTCTAAGTAGAGCTCTGTAAGGATTGAAACGATAACTTGTGCTCAACTTCAAAGCTGAAAAATAATATTTGATGCTTGTGTTTCAGCTATGGCTTGAAATGTTGCCTTGGTTCGGACCGGAAGTCCTAGACTGCGGCAAGTTTTCTCCCTGCAGTGATGTTTGGTCCTTTGGAGTCCTAATGTGGGAAGTGGTGTCCAGAGGCGACAGACCCTGGGCTGACCTTTACCCTGAACAGATCCAGCGAGCAGTCCTCTGTGGCCAACCACTCCCAGTTACACATACGCCATGTCCCCTGGCTCTGTATTCGCTTATGCTGCAGTGCTGGCAACCGCAACCCCATCAGAGACCTAGTTTTGCGTTTTTAAGCCAGAGTTTGTGCCATTTGGTAAAACAGAGGGACTCTTTGGCTCAGCAAGTCAACACAGCTGCAACAATCAGGTCAGTTCTCTTCAGAATATAGCTTCAATAGGAAAACAGAAACGAAAGATTTTAGATACTTGCGACGAGAAAAGCATTGGTCAGCTTTCTAAGTTTCAACTAGTGCACTCAGGGGAGGATTTAGGGGGGGGGGGGGTAAGTTTCAACTAGTGCACTCAGGGGAGGATTGGGGGGGGGGGGACGCTAAATTTTGCCTGCGGCGCAGAAAATTTGACCAAAACATAGTCTTTTTAATAATATCCTTAACTTGCACTAGTTTCGCGAGCAACGTTTAACAGTCGGATCCATGTTCCATACACAGTTACCGTGGTTTTTTCCACTGCATTGCAACTGTAAAGCAAAGCTGAACGTAATAAATTTGACAAGAACTTCAATGAAGTAGCAAAGTAAGAGCCCTTTAAAGCTTATTCATCTGTAAACTTAAGGTTCGAATCAAATAGATTGTTTTTCAGCAGCAGTGCCAACTACTTCCCTCTCCCCCCCACAAATGGATCCAATGAACCCCTGGGGTGGGGCTGGGGCTGGACTGTAGACCAGTGTCTTGCTCAACTCCAACTGTCCCAGTACTCTGGATGCTTCCGACAGCACGGACTACACCTGTTGGCTCAACTTTTACAAGCCAGAGTTGATCACACTGGATTGAAGAAAATTGGTTTGCATAGTGGTCGACACCGAAGACGTCTCATCAAGTACCTTGCCAGTGTCAGTCAACAACAACAACAGCATCAACAAAATCAACAACAACATGACATTGAAAGTGACACTGGAAGTGGTCAAAATACTGTCAAAGTGGCCATGAGGTTAAACCCAGCAGTCAGTGTGTTGTAGATAAAGTAAAAGGATAATAAATTATTCCACATGAGAAGTAGTTATAGAATTGAATAATGTTGGGTGTAGCAACGAAATGTAAAATTAGAATTTTTATGAAATAATCGTATCTACTGTACAGTAAAAGTGCAATAAAACTGAACGTAATTATTTTCATACCGTCATCTCGCCAAAATGGATCGTACCCGGCGAAATAATTGATTGGATACATGAGCGAAGTGTCAGCATGTTTCGCCCACGGAAATGTAAAATGATTTTTTTTTTCTTCAAAAAATAGATACGTTCCTGGATGGACGCAAAAATAAACAAGACTGCTGGAATCAAGGAAAGGCCCGATTTTTCCTCTATGGGTTTTGAAGTAAGCCTAAGTTTAAAACTTAACAATGATTTACGAAAAAGACGATGTTTACACAAGCATAGCTTGTGTTATAGTATGAACTTTCTTTTTTTTCCCAACCTAAGTCGCAAATATTGTTGCGATGCAATTGTTGCGATAAAATGTGTTCATTTTGATCCAGCTAGTAAGTAAAGCCAATAATTGGCGTGCGTCACTTATGAAATTTTGAAGACTCAAAGTTTTGATCATTCAGTTTTTCCCAGTAGCGTTATCTTTCATATTTTTGCTTGTGTATGCGAAGTGCAACTTCGCCTCTGTGTAAAAATTGGATTTTCAATGTTCATTTTTTAAAGCTTCCTCGCACAAACAATGTTAATTACAAATGGTATATTTCGCATCTAATTACACATTATCTCGATCAATTGGAACGAAACAATAAGAATACTGAGTTGTGCTTTATTACACTAGCCAGCTTTTTCGAGATTAGTGTGATAGCACGATTCTTTAATTTTTCAACCTAAGGCGCAAATATTGATGCATTTTTTGAGGAACCTTCATTGTCACGAATTTTTTACAGCATGTGATTTGACATTCGATTAATAATAAGGTAAAACAGTTTGTATTTTTCTTTTATCAAATGAACCGAAAAAAGCTATTTGTTTCGAACAACAGTAAAATCAGAGAACCTCGATTTCAGAAACTTTCTAGCTATTTATTTGCACATGTAGCTACTTTGTTTGTGGCTAGTGTTAGCAAATTATCAAGGGCTCGCAGCGCATATGCGAGGACAGAGGACTACAAATCTTCTGGTCGTCTGATTGATTCCGTCACAGCAATTTTTTTAAGGCTTATCTATTGCTTTGTGGAGCTAGTTTTTTGTCGTTTTTTCGCAAGTGTTCACGAAGCACAGCCTCGCTCCTTTTTTATTTTTTAAATATGCTTCTGAAGATCGGTCGTTATCAATTCTTTTTTTTTCTTGGAATGTAGTATCACAATATTTGAAATTAGTCGAATTTTTCACATTAAGTTAACAATTTTTCCGAAATATTTGTCGTTTTCTTGCAAATTTTATTGAGCGTTAGAAAACAGTTCCTCTCGTTGGTTAAATTTAATTCATAATCGGAGAAAATGATTTCATTAATTACGCAAGATGAGTTTTTCTCCAACGACTCTTCTAGAGTGGGAAGAAACTATAGCGTAGGATGCTTATTCTATCGATTTAAATTGCCTCAAACAATGTGTGGTATTGTGATACCTTATTAGATTTAATTGTGCCTTGAATTCCAAAAAAAATTCTCAGTTGGATTTTAGGATGACCTCTAAATATTATTTCCGCAATTTTAATCTAGCATAATATCAGCTGACCCGATAACCTTTACCAAAAAATTTTTCACATAAAATTTTGAAAAATGAAAAACAAAGTCTTCGATTAATAAAAGTTATTTTGCTTATGTAAATTTTTCCAAATCAGTGAACATTTTGAGGTAAATTGCTCAGCAACAACCTAATATAAAAAGAGTCGAATCAACCATGAAACACTCAGCGATGAACGGCATGCAGAAAAGTTTCAGCGGGGTAAACTGTCCTTGAAAAATTGCAACAAAAACTTGAAACTCAAATTCTAACGAAAAATTTAAACTCAAACTGCCGCTGTCCTAAAAAAACTATAATTTTTTTCACTTCAGAAACTCAGCATCTTATGAGTAGCCTGAAGAAACAAAAATTATTTTCTTTTGTCTTTGATATCGTGCTCAGAGCTTCTGCTTTACGATTTCTGCTCAAGTAACATTTAGGCTGTTTTTTTTCTAAATTAATCATAATAGCCAACGAAACATCCGAAACATTTTTTTTTCCTAAAACCTAACTGCAGCTCCCCTCGAACAACTCCGATTAAGGTCATCCTTTTCCAAATGGTCCTTTCAATCATTTTTGTTTCAGTTGCCCTGCTAACTTTGATCAAAGGGCATCGAGATTTTTCAAATGCTAAAAAATTTTGAACGAAAATGCTTAGCTAAAATTTCGAAATTGACTGATCACACAAAAAAGACCAAAAGCATAAATATTCCGTCATTAAGCTTGCGATTAGCATGCATTATGAAATCGAAATTTTGGCTTTTTTGGGTTAAAAACTAGTGTAACAAAATCAATTGAATCAGTTTTCGTGGCCGATCGATCCCTAAGGTCTGGGGTAGAGTCTCGGCCGGACCTTGCTTTTTTGCAATTTTATGCAAACGAGTTTTTTTGGTAAAATTGAATTGTCGAATTTTTGTTTGTCTGCTCAAGTTTTGTCGTCTAAGTTGCCACTTGGCGGATTTGGCTTCTGATTTTCAAATCTTTTTTGAAATCAGGCCACATCAAATCAGGCCACATTACTGATTTTTCTTGTGCTATAAGCAACTTTCAATGTAGCTGCAAGTTCTTGTGTTGTTCATTGTAGCTTCACTGGGGACTCAAAAATCAAATATTTTTTATATAAACGTTTTTTGGCTCAACTTGTGTCTGCTCAATGATGTGTCGGCTTTGGTTTCCTCTTTGTAAGTTTTGTTCCTTTGCTAATTTAAGTTTCATTTGTCTGGCTCGTTTGGCTAGAGTGAAATTTTATCGAGACATACGAAAACTTAATTGTTGGTAGGCCTAGTTTTTTAAACGTTTTTGACTTTTTTAAATCATTTTTTCGATTTTTGGTTTTCATCTTTGTTGTATCGCAAGTAGTGCGAAACTTTGCTTCGCCTCTGCGTAATTTCTGAAATTGGCTATCAGAAAATAGCCGAATGCATCGGTTTGAAAAAAAACAATCAAATTAAAAAATGAGATTTGAGATGAAAGAATTTTTGCGGTTATAAATACTAAAATAACTTTGAAATTAGTGCTGAAAAAATTTAAACTATGGTAGTTGGAGATCAGCTTTTGAGCAAATGATTTCTTTCTAGTTGCAACTTAGAAAGGCTTTAAATTTGATAACAAAACTCGAATACATCAGAGCTTTCTTTATGGATATCGAAATTAGGTAGAGAAAAAGTTCTACGCCGTAGACCTTAAGTGATTTGAACGGAACTATGCAAACCTACAAAAGTGTAATTAAGTTTCAAAATCCACAAAAACGGTTTTAAAACCACAACAATGGTTCCATTTTCTTAAGAAATATTTCCATTTTAATTAGTCACCTTTGGCTCTACTTTTTTGTCAAAGTCTATGCAAAAAAATGGACCCGAATAGTATCATTTTTGAAGCTGAAAAACTCGCACAAACTTTTATGACTAAATTTAGTTGCACCTCAGCAAAAACTAAACCATTGATCATTTTCTTTAAACCAAACCCCAAATGCAAAGATGGTAATTTCAATTTTAGGTTTTAACAGTGTTTTGGTTTTGAATTTGAAATATTAATTTTGATTTTGAGATATTAAAAAAACTTTTAGTTATTCAAAACTGCAGCTGTTGTTTTTCATGGAAATGAGTACAATAAGAAAAGTGTAATTGGGCAAAATCATTCTTTGAACATAAAATTAGACAAACGTTTTGTACAGGTTTTTAATTTTCTTTTTTGACAAAGATATTAAATTGCGAACATTATCCGTTCTAATTTATCTTTCGAAATATTAGTTTTATTTCCGTTTTTATAATTTTTCTTACCAATCTTAAAGTTTCAGGAAAACCGTTTTAATTTCAAGGCATAAATTTTAGCAACTGAAAAATCTGACGAGAAATTTTCGTAAATCTGTTTAATACTCACAATTTTCGAACTTCTGTGTATTGAGATTTTTTAGTATAGCAGGCTTAGTATAGCAGACTTAGTATATTTTTTTAGCATACCAGACTTAGTATAGCTTAGCGCGTTAAATTTAGTAAAAAAGTACAAAAAAGTACGAAAAAAACGTAAATTTAAAAGACATAGTTAAAAAGCATAGCCCGTTCGTTACAACCAAAGTAAATTTCTACCACTAAGTGAGTTATTTCAATTTTAGCAGTGTCCACTTAAAGTAGTGAATTGAATTTCAAAAAACAAACAGTAATTGTTTCACATAATTTGTGGGTTGACAAAATCATCACAAAACATAGTCGCCCAGTGTAATTGTTTATTTCAAAATTTTGCGAGTTTGAGTTTCGTTTGTAGCAACCCCGCAATTTGACTTCTGAGGTAATTTTGCTGTCGATTCACTGTTTTTCAAGCCCATTGTCATTTAGGTGAACCACATCGTTAGGTATATCATTGGCATCCGAATGGTTCAAACAAGAAACTGTGATATTGCTATGTGGATCTTTCAACTCAGTTTCAATTTTAACCAAATGTGTACTGAAGACGTCAATTGCAGGGTTATTAGACTCTCGGCATAAAAAAATTCCTTTTAACTCAAAGAGTTTTTTCCAAACAACACTATGATGCTTGAATTTTTGATTAGAGCCAACGCGGGTTTAATTCAACAGCTCTATAGCTGCCTCAGCGGTCATTTAGACCTTTAGCAAATCTATTGTGTTTAACCTTGGTTATAAGGACGATCAGCTTTTACAGCAGGATTTTGAATGTTTCTTAGGAATGGAAGTTAATTCAACTGCATTTTTTGACAAAAAAAAAACGAGTCACTTTTTGAGCTCGCGTTGAATGTTGTAAAAAAATAATTTTCTTTTGGATCAATTTTATAAATTTTAACTTTCGATTTTGCACTGATTTGCGCTGAAAATGATGAAAAAACGTCTTTGCATTGAAAATGATGAAAAAATAACTATCTGAAATAAAAATTGATGCAATGTATTGCCGCATAGAAGGACTTTTGATACATCTTAGTGATCTATAAAATCGAAA